TCGCTTGTTTATTGGGTTCCAACGAGATGGACAGAACCGGATGAAGATCATCGATTTAATTAGGAAACATGTCATGACAAACAAATAATCAGATTTTTCGCACGATGTGGACGGCTGGACGCAGTCCCTTCCCGCCTACGGCTGTCGTCAGCTGGCGGTCAACCGACCGGTGAGCATTGCCCCGTCCCGTAACGCAAGGTCTATACTCCCATTCGTACCTGTAACACCGCGTACGACACTCCACTTCTATGGCGCAATGCGCGATATCCGACGGCCCTGGCAGTTAGCTTGTTCGGTTGTCCATCCCCATTTGTCGGCCGGTTCAGGTTGTCCTGATGCTGGCCGACACTCAGCGTTGCAGTCAGCCAGGATCTGTCCTGGCCTCTGGATCCCAGTGCTGTTCCTTGACCGCGTTTCTTGACATCCCAGTGCTGTTTCTTGTTGACTTGAAGGCTTGATGCCCTTGCACAACACGATCCACCACCACACTCGACCGGGAAAGAAAGTCACGTAGCTCACTTCCACAATAAAACGCGTGAAACGCGAATAGCACTCGCCGTGCGGCTCCCAGCCTCTACACACACCCATCACGCCGGCAACGGCGGTTCAAACTGCTCATACTGAAAGCGTGCGCGCCAAACAGCAAAACGCGGAACGATGATTGGTGGAGAGGATCACCCTTCTGCGCATGTGCGACTTAGGCCACGCCCCCTGTTAAAATTACTCACAAAAGGTAAATCTACCTTAAAAAAATAAGGAGTCAAAAAACTACATTTAAGTACTTATACACCCTTACGAGTTGATGCATGTTACAGGTACCTGTTTTTCAATAACAAGTAGTAGAAAAACATGCTGGTAGAGTAGCCCTACACGACCGATTCTGGTTTGTTAGGTAGAGGTACCCTCTCTTCTGGGTAATGGTACCAGAATCTGCATGGTACTGTAAACCCATACCAGGTACATTTGCTATAATGTGTGTAAAAAGAACCATAGGTGTACAGGGACCCAAAATAAATGGTGTATTATTATTTCTGTCCGGGTTTTAATATCTGGAGAAATCGGGATACCGGTACTCATAAGGGTAAAATTACCCGTAGAAGGGTAATTTTTTCTCTGTGTGCATGTTGCCAGTTGCCACACATGTTACTCAGAATACTTGCATGTCGCACATCGTTCCGTTGAGAACGAATGCTGTTACTTAACCCGCGCCCTGGTGGGGTCTGTTTATAACGCGACCTGGTGGGGGGGGGGGGCTATTTTTTGCCCCCCCTCGTATCTCCAAAACTACTGGACAGATCCGCAAAATTCAAACGGCGTTCGATAGCCCTGTCAAATTTGTCCAGGGAAACCAAATTTTATTGACCTCGGGGTCACCGATGACGTCACAGGTCAGGTCAAAGATAAAATGTTTCACCGTTCACGGGGCTTCTAGGGAAAGCGCTATAACACCGAGTAAAACGCATTTTGTCGAAAATCAGCGATAAGACGTCAGTTGTCTAGTACCTATGTTGCTATTAGAGGTCACTGGTCATACCAGGTCAGGTCACAGGTCAGGTCACCAAAGGTCACCAAGGGTCACCACATGAACCCAACTTTACTAAGGTTGTGCGATGCATGTTTTATGGCCAGTTTTTCATTTCCAACCCAATGGTGTTGGTTATAAGACCATTAGGTACGGTTTAGGTCACTTTCTGGTGGAGGTCAGGTCAAGGTCAGGTCAAAAAAGGTCAAATTTCAAAGTTGATAATTTTGCATAAAAAGGGTATCGATTCGATGCAGCTCGTCACGGGGAGTCTAATGATGGTCTTTGTTTTGCACTACGAGGTCTAGAATTGCTAAAAATGGAGTTTGAAAATTTGACGTCATCAATTTTGAACAGTTTTTTCGCTATAACTTCGCCAAAAAAAGAGGTATCAATCTAAAATTTTGTATGTGGATGGAAGGCGGTAAGGACTATCACATATATTCCGGTTTTTGCGAAATTCAAAAAACTTTTTGGATTTTTTTACTATTATATCCCAAAAATTTATTTTTTGATTTTTGGGGGTCAAAATAAAAAAAAATCAAAAATCCGAGATAGCAGTTTTGTAGCCCTGTTAATTCTACAGCTTTTATGTCCTAAACATTTTTCTGTATTTGCAAAGCTATAGGCCTGACAGCTCTTCCCGCGAAACCCTTTTTTGGGTCGAAAACGGCAGAACATGACGTCACTCTGACGTCATTTTCGGCCAACCTATCATAGCTTCTGGAAAAATTTTTGGTCACAATGTGTACAATTGATGTCCGGGAGGGTACTGAAAGTTTGGTGACGATCGGCGCAGCGGTTCTGGAGATATATCGAAAAGTCTGGAGGGGGGGGGGCAAAAAATGGCCCCCCCCACCAGGTCGCGGGTTAATATAGTCAGATCCTTGTGCTATAAAAGTTACCAAATATAATATTCCTTGAAGTATAAACGCTAAGAGATCAGTGGTTAGACGCCTACGCCGCAGCCCTCTGGACCAGCCTGAGTGGGAGGTTGTCAAGGTACTGCAGAGTCATCGACAGCACCCACACCTCTGACGTCAAACGTCGCTGCCGATGGACGTCAGCTGACTTCACCGACTTAAGACGCTCGACGATCGCCTCGACTAGATACTGACGGCTGGTGGCGAGACCCCCGGCGACCTCCGCGTCCAGCAAGTGCTCCCGCTGGCGCAGGAAGGTCAAGATAATGCCGTCGTGGTAGCCATTCGTGTCGCTCCACCCACCGAAGAGCTCTCCGAAGCTGTGCGCATCAAGTGCCAGCCGCTGAGTCCTTTCAGCCGCCCCCGTCAAAACCATGGGCGTCAGTGAGGGAAACGAGAACAGCCCCGGCAGGCCCCTCGCCAAATAATGAAGAAAGAGAGTGACCAGTTCACTAGCGGCTGGGGGCTTTTCAAGCCAGGACGGTGCGCGCTCAGAGAGTCGCACCTGCTGGCGGGAGCGGCGGCGACTGGCTGTGAGAGCTCCAGGGCGGGGGAAAGCGGCAGGGGGACGCGCCACGCGCCGCAGAGGGGTCGTCGGTCGTCGAGAGCCAGAGGTCAGGGAGCGTGGAAGGCGGTGGTGTGGCCTTTTGGCCGTCCCTGTTGGAGACGGCCGCGACGTCTGGCCGCTCATCACTTGCTGGCGTAAAATGTCTGGTCTTATCTTAGCTTGAATAACTGCTTTTTTGTGCTGTTGGTTTAGTGACTTGCTCCTGTGGGGATGGTTTTTGAATGTTGAGGTTGTTGGCCGTTTTTGAACCCCACAAGAAGCGCCGAAAATCCTGAAAGAAAGAGAATGCGGCGATGACAGGGTCGTGATTATGCTCGCTCTTTGTTACACAAAAGCAGAAGTGAGGCCGTTAAGCGTTTGTATTTACCTACATAATCAGGAGTTTTGACATCACAAATTGGTTGGTGCAATAGCAACAACGCCTGAACCCGCGCAACGACGGGGGACCGTGCCAACTTTGCACCGACGGGGGGGGGGGGGCGGATGACCGCCCCCCCTCTGAGATCTCGAGAACGAATCAAGATAGCAACAAGCAGTAGACGGCATGGGGTACGCGCGGTCATGGCCTAAAATTTTTACAGGGGTTATTTTCAGGTCAGGTCAAAGATGACGTCACAGGGTAAAAAGTCAAAATATCGGCGCTAGATATGAAGCTTTTCTCGAATTACTTTACTTTCGAAGTAGCCAAAACTATGAACTAACTAATGACACCATCGTGATCCTCTAGTCAATCCGCATCGAATCATATATGTGTTGACCTCGAAAGGTCAAGGTCAAAGGTTGACATCAGGTGACATGACCTCAAGGCCATCATGCAAATAATTCAATGCGTCTTGGCGAGCTGAACACAATGAGACCATCCGCGCGTCTGTATCTCGTTCCTGTAAGGAGCTATTAACAAAAAAAAACTTTGGTGACCTTCGATGACGTCACATGACCTTACAGTTACCCAATAGCAAAACAGGCCTACGGATGGATATGTTCCTCCATTCAGCAGTATTGGATTATATCGACGCGTTTTTTAAACCCCACATGTTCTCGTGTGAATTTTCGATAAGTTGGATAGAAACTTTCAAAAAATGTACGGTCACTCGAGGTTTAAGATGACGTCAGGTGACCTCGGATGACTTTGGATGATCCTTAATCCTGTCCCTGATGCACCCAATCCTGGGCGTACATGTTTGCAGGCTTAGGAGCTGATCACCGATCCAATATTCATTTCGAGTTGTGTTATTCATAGATTTTGAAGGCTCAATTGATTCTCATGCAGCATAAATTCCCTTTTCAACGTGCTGGAACACGCAGTACACATAATTGTGGTTCAAGGAAGCCTCTGAATACTAGAAAATGAGAAAGTCAACAAACATGTTTTTATGTTATCGGTGTCATATTTCAAATATCAATCTTAAACATTTCCAAACTTTTTCTCCAAAACATCCTAAAATAATAAAGAATACAAATTGAGCGACCGATGTGATAAGAGAAAAAAAAACAGTCGCTTGTAAAGGCTCATCCTGCGACATATTATTGAAAAAACATTGCTGAAACGTTTTAACTGCGCCAGTTGCAAGGATTATTGATCAATTTGATTTTTGAAGGATGATTATTGAATGCTAGAATACGCATACAATGGCCAGCTCTGTTTTGCATTAGAATAATAATTCGTAAGGCCTACAAATTGCATCAAAAGTTAGCTGAAATAATAAGAATATATTGAGCATAATAATAAAAATTGCTAAAATAAGACACAGCTACTTATTGCATGGTAAGATTACAATTGGATAACTCATTTATGATAAAAAACTACATGAGATCCATAAGCACCGTAAATGCAAATTTCAATTCAAGCTATACAGCTGAACATCAAAGCGAAATTTGTTCGTGATATAGTTACATTTACTCTCTTATGTATATACGGTAACCGCTAAGTGTTTTCGTTTACACAGACCTTCTCGGTCGTTTTGAAGTAAAATAACTACTGACTTACCGTCTAGAATGTAGACGGTGACCGGAGAGCCAACTGGAGAGCCTACATAGTCACCTCCTTTTATACGGGGCACTATCAACAACTGCACGTGATGTCCGATAAAGTACAACAAAGACACGGCAGTTATCAATAGCTGAGAACATTCGGGGAGGTGCAATCTATATACGGCCTTGGTGCAATGTAATGCGTTTCAATCTCCCATGAAGTGGGCAAGTCGTAAACAACGATCAATGCTAAGCCAAGGTGTTTCTGTCTGTCGAAGTAGATCATGCATTCCTGCCGGATGCCGATAAGAATCATAAGAGGTGCCATAAGAAGAACTTTACAAAATGTCGTATCTGAGTTCGATGCTTCAAAAACACATGAGAGTTTGCATTATTACAGTTGTACAGATGTTACATTAGATCAAAAGTTATAAGCGCAAAACTTTTGACCTGTTTTTAGCGAATTTTTTTACATTTATATCCCCACCCCCCCTAAATATTGACCTAGAGCAACCAAATTGGCACATGGGCGAGAACTCCAGGGGGCCCACCTACCTACCAAATTTGGTATTTCTAGGTGAAATAGGAGCCAATCGCGAGGGGGGGGGGTCGCATCGACCCACCCTGCCAGGCCGTGTTATGAAAAATGCCCTGCCAGGGCGAGGGTCAACTAACCCGACGAAAGTCTGATATCATCGATGCCGTCCGGGCACAGAAGAACAACTGAAATAATGCAAACTCTCATGTGTTTTTGAAGCATAATATGAAAATACGAACTCAGATACGACTTTTTGTAAAGTTCTTCTTATGGCACCTCTTATGATTCTTATCGGCATCCGGCAAAGATGCAGAATGTATTAGCTCATTCGACAGACAGAACACTCTGGTTTAGCATTGATCGTTGTTTACGACTTAGCCCACTTCATGGGAGATTGAAGCGCATTACATTGCACCTTCCCGAATGTTCTCTGGACTCTGATATTGATAACTGCCGTGTCTTTGTTGCACTTTATCGGACATCACGTGCAGTTGTTGATAATGCCCCCGTATAAAAGCAGGTGACTATGTAGGCTCTCCAGTTGGCTCTCCGGTCACCGTCTACATTCTAGACGGTAAGTCAGTAGTTATTTTACTTCAAAACGACCGAGAAGGTCTGTGTAAACGAAAACACTTAGCGGTTACCGTATATACATAAGAGAGTAAATGTAACTATATCACGAACAAATTTCGCTTTGATGTTCAGCTGTATAGCTTGAATTGAAATTTGCATTTACGTTGCTTATGGATCTCACCTATTTTTTGATCATAAATGAGTTATCCAATTGTAATCCTACCATGCAATAGGTAAGTATCTGTTTCTTATTTTAGCAATTTTCATTATTGTGCTCAATATTTTCTGCTTATTTCGGTAAACTTTTGATGCAGTTTGTAGGCCTTACGAATTTTGATTCTAATGCAAAACGGAGCTGGCCATTGTATACGTATTAGCATTCAATAATCCTTAACCCTCGCACGACCAGGCCATTTCTCATAACACGAACGACCAGGGGGGGGGGGGGTTGTTACGACCCCCCCTGGCGTTTCGAAACGGAAGGTCGTAGAGCTTAGCGGAAAAAACCAACGGATTGCTCTCAACGAGATCTCGCGATTGGTGGTATATTTTTTGGTCCTAGGTCAACATTTGATCTACTTATGACCGGTCAAAGGTCAAATTTTCCGAAAAAATCAAACTTTTTCAACTTTCCGCGGCGATTGCGGCAAAACGGTGGGAGATATCGACTTGAAACCTTCACTATCGTGTTCCTTGATCAATTTTCTATCGTTTGGTATGTATTTCGTTTCCCTAGCTCTAAAAATGGCGCGTTGGGAGCGCCGGAAGTCGGCAAGGTCACAGTCGGCGGCAGAAATTCGAAAAATCAAAATTTAAATTTTTGAAATCTGATTGTATTTTTGGATTTGGGAGGTCCATTTGCTCCCTATAGAAGCTAATATTGCTGCATATTCCCATTGAGGTGACAAGAATTAGCAAAATAGTGGTTCGGGCGCTTTTCAAAAATAGTACCTGACGCTGTTCCTCTTGTGACGTCATAGCTCCGTGACCTGACCTGACCCGGTCAATTTTCTTGCACCACACGATAGCCAATGCTTGCCCCAACATGCATGGGAAGTTTCATCATGATCCATCAAACAATGTGGGTATCACCGGCAGAAAACCTAGGGATTCGGCGCACACGTTTGGTAACTGTCGGCCGGAGGCTGTACCTCTTATGACGTCATAACTCCGTGACCTGACATGACCCGATCAATTTTTTTTCGGCACAAGATGCGCAAAGGTTGCCCCAGAGGGTATTGAAAATTTCAGCCCGCTACGACAAGCCGTTTAGCGTGCACTTCGAAAAAACCTCAGGGGGGGGTTGATACAACCCCCCCCCCCTAGGCGTTCTAGGGTTAAAATCCTTCAATAATCAAATTGTTCAATAATCCTTGCAACTGGCGCAGTTAAAACGTTTCAGCAATGTTTTTTTCTCAATATATTTCGCAGGATGAGCCCTTACAAGTGATTTTTTCTTCTCTTATCACATCGGTCGTTCATTTTATTTTATTTTAGGATGTTTTGGAGAAAAGGTTTGAAAATGTTTAAGATTGATATTTGAAATATGACAAAGGTAACTTAAAAACAGTTTTGTTGGCTTTTTCATTTTGGAGTATTCAGATGCATCCTTGAGCCACAATAAATTGTACTGCGTGTTCCAGCACGTTGAAAAGGGGATTTATGCTGCATGAGAATCAATTAAGCCTTCAAAATCTATAAAAAGTCATAATTCAAAATGAATATTGGATTGGTGATCAGCTCCTACGCTTGCAAACATATACAGCCACTGTATGCATCAGGATCATCCAAAGTCATCCAAGGTCACCTGACGCCATCTTAAACCTCGCCTTTTCCCAGCAAAAAGTGCATCAGTGGACACACCTGTAAAAGCCAGCATGTTGGAACCTTTTTTCCTTTTTTTCCTCTGACAGCTCCTGGATTTTTTGTTTGGCCTGAAGCAAAGACCTCTCCTTTAGTTATTGACCTAACCTGTTGGGTCAGAGCTATACGCTCTTTTTTTCGCCAAGTTCATGGACATCGGACACTGACACTTTTGACTCTGCCATTTTACATTTTACTCGCCAATATTATGCATGGTTTCATCGGTACACCGAACAGGACAAACCGAAAGTTGATCAATGTTATCATATATCATACCTCGCCGACTCAAACTGACTCCTCGATCGCATAAATACGAGTAGTTTCCTTATTTAGGTACTGCGCTTTCGGAACATTATTTTGCAGCTTCTAGTCCAGATTAGAGATGTCAATCGGATACCAACTTTTTGGTATACCGATACCAAATCGATACCAACTTGGTATTCGGTATTTCAATCGTAATGTGTTTTTTTTTTGTATCATGAACCATCACTAATGTATAAGAGGCTAGGAAATCGGTGAAAAGTTGGTATTTCCCTCATTTTCCCAAATTGGTTTGGTTTCGGTATTTTCCCGTGGTTTTGGTTGGTATTTGGTTTGGGTATCGGTATTCTGATTTTCCGTAATTGACATCACTAGTCCAGATAGCAACAGCAATCGGCACCCAGACTCACACTGACTGCTCCGCGCTCACTTTGGCAGTTGGCACATCAATTTTGATGAGATATCCAATCTATGTTCACTGTGCGATAACCGATGAAGCTACGCTCGGGCGTTGAAGTGAAATATTGTAAAAAGTGAGCAGTTTATCGTAATGTCAAATAGGCGTATACTTTTTTAGTGTTTCAGGTTGGCAAAATGTTATTGATATTGTTTTATTCTGTGTTAAATTTCATTTTATCTCGCTTGTAGAAATTAAATTCAAAAGGAAAGAATTAAAGGGCTAGCTAGACAAACAGAACACTGAATTGCATGAAAAAGTATTGTTTATATGGATTTCCTAAATTTATGACGTTAGAGTTCCTTCGACGCTGCACTATTATCAGCGCCCCATAGAAGTTCAACGCTGTTCTTTCGAATTATTTATTAACCGATACCAGAAAAAGAATAAATGTTGGTTGAAGGGTGTATACAATATATATATATATATATATATATATATATATATATATATATATATATATATATATATATATATATATATATATACAGCAAATGCAGAGGCTGGTGCGGTCCATTTCTCCAAAATAGTCGGTGAATACAGCCCAGGCTATGCCTACGGAAACGTGAAAACACACAAGACGAACAATCCATTGCGACCAATAATAGCGCAGGTCACATCTCCAACGTACAAGCTTGCTAAGCGTCTAAATGAGCTTCTCATTCCCTTCATGCCCGCGAAGCACTGTCTGAAATCGAGCGAAGAACTGATCGATCTCCTTCGTGAGAAACAAGTCGATGGTGTTCTCGCATCGCTGGATGTAGAGAGCCTTTTCACGAATGTGCCAGTGGAACAAACGATAAACATCATTCTTGATAATGTGTGTTGGCGCCGTTGTCGCCTGGCGATGCTAACTTTTAGTTGTCTGGGCGTTTGACAGATGGCGGTGTGGTTTTCGGTTGCCCATTTGTTATCGATTTATTGATATGTTTATTTTATGGTTTGGTGCCTTGTTTCTTTTGGTTTATTTTAGGTATCGGTTTGTAATTTAGTTTTGTATTGTGTTTCGCGGTCATAAGTTATTTGGGTTTTGTTCGATGTACCGTTTTGTTGGTACTGACCGGTGACCTCTACGGTCACGTGACCTGCCACGTCACCCTTCTGGGTCAGCGGAGGGGCGGCCGGCGGGGCAGCGCCCATTCTTGGTTGGCCTGTCGCGGCGGCGTTAGCGTGCCGCGCATCGGTTTGGTTTGGTCGTGTTTGGCTTGGTTCAGCCGTTCGACGTGAGTGCAAGGGCGCACCGTGTAGGTGAGTGAGCGATTTGGTCTTGGAAATTAGTTCATGTTGGTGAGATTGTTTGCCGATTATGTTTTCTTTGCTTTGTTGTGTCTGCGTATTCGTTTGGTTGGTGTT